ACAAGTAATAGAAAAGTGTTGGGCAAGCTGTCTTGACAGGACAAGAGGATGCTGTTGTGAAAGATTGAGCACTTGGTTGCACATGTTAGCATAAGCATTGTATCGCCCTTTATAGTATGGCTTTTCGTATACTCAAATTCAAAATATAAAAAGAGATAAACCTCCTTTGAGCTTGATGCCATCATGTTTTGTAATTGGGGCTCCTCCATTATGTATAACATCCTCACTTATGAATCTCCTGCTTGTCATCTCGATAATTCTTATTAGTCCTATAATTTGTTGTCATTATCACCAAAACCTATAATTAGGGCTTGATTGCACTTACACCTTGCAAGTCACGGGTTTTCGCTGGGCATCACCAAGGTTTCCCAAAGGGCGGCGAGGGGGGCTCACTCGGAGTATCAGAGATCGTTTGCTCATGATGGAGAGCGGAAGACTGAAGGCAAGATCAGTGAAGGAGGGGTTCAAAGAGGCAAAGCCCACCCCCAGGCGAAGGAGATTTGTGGCGGTATCTCAGCAAAGACAGGTCACCGTGTCCTGTGGTAGTTGAACACATTTTTTTTACTATTGTAATGATTCAACCAAAGTGCCCCCGACCCAAAGGAATATGCTTAGTACTTAGGGTAGGCGTGGGGCACGATGGTCTTTTGTAATGTAAGAAGGGGCCTATAAATAGTGCCCCTGAGCAACAATGTGAGGAGGATGAATTGAATAGTGATTCTATAATGTTCCTAGCTAGTTGGTTTCCCACTTTGCACCACCTTTGCAGTTCTGCCATTGCCCACTAGTTTCTATAGTTCGGTGGCCTGCCCCCGTGTTCGAAGACTTTGGTCTAGAACAACAACTTAAGTCAGGAAAAATCAAAATGTGGAAACAAGATAAAGTAGATATTGTTTATATGATGAACCGGAAGAAAAAACACAAACTATAGATCAACAAACAATGATCATGTTGCCCTAACCCATTAAGAGCTCAAAGTTTGTTCAATTCCTACCATAAGATTCAATGGGTTTTAGGCCCTGTTTGGATCACTCAAAACTAAAGTTTAGACAGATTAAAGTTTGGATGTATTAAAATTTTAGATGGTCTCTTTTAGACATTGTTTGATGAGAAAGTTATGATACTGCACCGCACTTGGCAGCGAGCGCAAGGTTCACGCAGAGTGGACCCCCACATGAAGAGTAGCATGTCACGGAGTGGACCCCCACACGAAGGGCCTGTTCGCTGGTTGGTGCTGGTGCTGGTTTGGGCTGGCTGGTGCTGGTTTTTTGTGAGAGAAAAACACTGTTGGCTAGCTGGTTTGGGCTGGCTGAAACCAATAAGCGAACAGGCTGGAAGAGTATGTTGCCAGAATGCTTGCAGTGCTGTAACCGGAGGTCATCATCGCTGGTGTCATGGCAATGTCACAAGGACACATGAGGCCACCGCTCTCAGCCATCTCAAGCAGGGTCTTGCAGCACATAGTTGAGGTGCCGCCACCCTTTACGCACCACAGGACAAAGTCTGTTGAGCACATCATCGCGTCACAACCTCCTAGCGCCGTGATGACACCCAATGTGTTGGAAACCCTCTCGATGACGGCGGTGGTGGGCATGGCGGTGGCAAAGCCCGTCGTGGTGAATGCGGTGATGGTGAGCGTGTAGGCCACCAATGTAGCAGCCAGCAGAGCGACGGTGAGGCGGCGAGGAGCCATGGGCGCAAGGACGGGTGCAACTCAGTTAGCGCACGAAGCGGCGATGATCAGGTGGTGCCGTGCTGGAGTGGTGCCAACGCTGCTAGCGAATTTCTGAACTCACAAGGTCGTCACGGACTTGCGGAGGAGGAAAACTTGGCAAGGTGCTGGGCTGGCACTGGCAAAAATGACAGACGGTTGCAGGGGTTCTTTTTTACTTCTTTTTCATATAAAAAAGTGTTCGTCGTGAGCCTGTGTGATACACGGACGTGTGCTTGGGATTCTTTGCGAAACGCACAGTTGAATACGTACTTTCACAAGAACTTCAAGGTAAACCAAAAAAGTTTAGCAAAAAGAGAAAAAAGAGATTCAAATTACGCCAAACGCGCGACAGATAATGTCAGTGTTTTTTGAAAATTTGTTTCAACCTTATCTAGAATCCTTTATTTGGGGATCAAGATTTCAATATCTAAATGGGTTTTTACAACATCCATCGCAAAATTAACTATATGATATCTTCTTTTAATGATGTGTCATATTTGTTGCATTAAGCCCTCGAATTTAGGATACCATATTAAATTTCATGTTGAACCATTTGGAGCTCCTTTTGAAATATTTGAATGATTGTTTACATTTATATGAATCTCATCAATATGCATTTCACAATTTCTATAAGTCTAGAATAATTACTATGCTGGAGAAATGGTAAATGATAAAAGTCTGAGAGTTTAAGAGTAGTTATAAAATTTTACGAAACATGTCATACCCCAAAAGTTGAGTTACTCGGTCCATAGATGTGTTCTAGGGACGAAGGACCACAGACTACTCGATCTTTCATTAGTGTGCCATTTAATTTCAAAAAAAAACTTAATACATTTTGGAATACTAGACTGCTCGATCCTTCATTAGTGTGCCACTTATAATTTCAAAAAAACTTAATACGTTTTTGGAATATTAAACTTGTTATTAAATGATGCACCCCTGAGACATGGGTTCCTGGCGATGGCTTGGCGTTGGACTAGGTCTGAGGTTGGTTTGGTGCTGATTGTGCGAGGGGTTGACCCAGTCTACATTGGTTTTTAGGCCATTGGCCACAGATTTGACCGCCTCACAACCAGGTTGAAATTTCGTGCATTTAAGGAGATCACCTCTATTATACAGAGACAGTAACCTTAAGGAAACTGCCTATGTTAATCCATTAATATATGTGGAACGACATAACTACCTCTGTAAATGGTTATTTTCAAAAGTGGCCTTCTTAAAAGTGTCGTCTCTAGAATTCGATTAACAGATGTAGCACTCTCAAGAGGTCCGCTTCTAAAAATAATTACTCCATCTATTCCAAATTATAAGTCACTTTGATTTTTTTTATTCATCCATTTTGCTATGTATCTATTATTATATTTAGATGCATAGTAAAATAGATGTACCAAAGAAATCAAAGTGACTTATATTTTATAACGGAGGGAGTATATTTTAAGTTCTCAGATTTTGAGATTTAAATTTTCAAACAATTTTGAATGGAGACACACCTAGTACTAAAGTCGTAGTGCTCGACAAGATTTGACACTTTTAGTTATAACTTTTTTCATTTGAAATCATTTAGTGCCAAAAATATCCAAAACAAGATTACTAAGTCTCAATACAAAAGGATAGCATCTTATACCCAATTATAAGTGAGTGTGTAGTGCAGCGATATGCGTAAGAAACATGGGCGCTAGTAAGAGCATAGTGATTTTGGTGGTTGAGTAACTGCATAAGTCAATAGAAATACCAATGGTTGCTAGTATACAAGTTGTCAATTTAGGGATGCAAGGTTGGAGGGTACAATTTGTTAAAATTGTTACCTATGAGACTCATTTCAATATTTTCGTTGGATAACAAGTATGACAACAAATATATTCTCATTATCATAAACCAATAATAATGTTACATCTCTTATATATATGTTGTTCTTTTCCATTGTTTACCGTGCAATGCAATCCAAAATACTTTTTGATACCCGCAGCAATGCGCGGGGATTCCTTCTAGTTCTAATCCATTTTAGAATCAAACTCAGCGGCATGTTACTTCACCTCCTAACGTTATAGGAGAGATTAGGTCCATCCGATCCCCATTGGCTGGTTGTGAGCGGTGAAAGACGAAAAAACTATTTCCTCTTAAATAATAGCTGGTAAATATACCCGCATGTTGCAATTAACGGGAGAAAACAATTTCTTGCACTCTCCTATGTCAGTAAACATGGACCTAAACAGTCCTTTTATGATTAAGTAGTCCTTCGCCTTTTGGTTTGAGATAGTGGTCTTCCTTCGATTGTTTGGATTAAAATATTGAACATCTAAGCCATAGAAACATTGTACGTACACCTTAAAAATCCTAGGAAAATTCCGTTCAGTAAGTGCCAGTAGTATCTCTTTCTGCATACAATTTTTATGGCTTCTCTTTTTGACGTTTGGCAATTGGCAGTGATTAATGAACTGGGAAATCCTTGCTGTAGTTGTTAGTAGCACGATGAATAATTGATTCAAGGTCTTTGTACAGCTGAACCCATGTCATGGATGTCAGTGAAATTAGCATGGTCTTTCCATGATTCAGAAAGGAAGACTCGTAATTCAGATACTGAACATAAGCTGCAAATTGTGTCATATGTTTCAGAAAGGTGGACACTCAATGACTCATGATTCAGATACTGAACATAAGCTGGAATTTGTGTCATCCTGCAACAAGTCCTCCCCCAAACAACATGCAAACCTCTTTTCACAGGATGAGCGCACAAAAGACCCTGTAAAACAATAATAAGTACCTAAAATTAATAGCTTAGTTTTTACGTATAGCCTCTCTTATATATAATTAATTTTTTTAGCATAATTTGGCAGGTGTTCTGCCGTTTCATCTCAGATAGAAGCAGAGGTTCAAAAGTTACAAAACACTTACTCTATACAAAGAGAAGAAAAAAAACAGCCGAGATGACAGAACAGAGCAGACATGGAGGGAAAAGGAAAAGAAAAGTAGCAGCAGCAGATTTCAATCTACGTTTCTAATTCTTGGGCTGCCATCTGTAACAGTCTTAGGCCGTTTCGAATCACTTCTAAGAGTTCCTCCGTGCTGCGTGCTTTATTGTCGAAGGCTCGTTTGCATCGCTCCTTCCAAATATTCCAAACGGTGTAAGTTATAATTGTGGTCCGGTTTCTATCACTCCCCTGGCCGGCCCTTAGGCTGAGCTTCTTCCACCTCCCTGATGTTGTTCCTCGTGATTGCAAGCCCTTGCTCATTGCTCCAAGCCTCAACTTGTCGCCACAGTCGCTTAGTGTAGCTACATTTTGCCACCATGTGTCCATGCACCTCCCTGATGTTGTTCCTCGTGATTGCAAGCCTTGCTCATTGCTCCAAGCCTCAACTTGTCGCCATGTGTAGGTGGATTTCTTGCCCCCAAAAAAAAAAAATTCAGTCTATGTGGATTTTTTATTTCAAAATCAAATAACATTTTTGTATATTTGTTAGACGATGAAGTCGGCTTGGAGAATAGAAATTCAATAGGATGTAAAAGAAAACGTGAAGCACAAGCTACTGATGTAATGACTTGTGATAAAGATGTTGAAAGGCGGGCTAGAAGCCGAGAATATCAGTGTAACTATCGTGCATGGTTACGGGCTAAGGCAGTTGGTAACCAAAAAGAACCCCTTGATCCTAGCATGGTAATAACGAAGCAACCAAGTTTGATTTAAACTTATGTTAATTATGTTACTACAATACTATTACATGTTATAAATGTGTAATAGAATTAATTGTAATGTGAAACAGAACATACTGGTGTGCAGTCTAATGATAAAGAGGCAGAAAGACGGGCTAGAAATCGGGAATATCAACGTAACTATCGTGCAAAGTTAAGGGCTAAGGCCAGTGCTAATGAAGAACATCATCCTAATCCAAACATGATGATAGCAAACAACCCAGGTTTGATTACAAATTTGAAATATTACTATAGTACTATTAAATGTTATATATTTGAGGCAAAACACACTGAAATGTGAAACAGAACATACTGGTGTGCGCTGTAATGATAAAGACGCAGACGCGGAAAGACGGGCTAAAATTCAGAAATATCACCGTAACTATCGTGCAAAGTTAAGGGCTAAGGTCGATGTTAACGAACAACGTCATCCTAATCCAAGCATGTTGATTGCAAACAACACAGGTTTGATTACAGATTTGGTTACTGCAAGATTATTATTAAACTCATTGGTCTAATATTAATAAAGTATTCGGCTATTTATAATAATATATTATTGTGTTTAGGTACGATTGAAATTGTGAAACAAGAGAATCTTGCATACAGCAACCAAAAACCTAGTTGTGCCACTCGGTTAGCCTCTCGCACAATTTTTCTCTAACTTGTTAAACCAGAATGTTTAAAGTCAAGCCAACGAAACGGAAAAAAAACTTATAAAGAATAACATAGGGACAAATTGGAAGTAATGTCGTGAAGCCACAAAGAATCGGGAGTTTTAGATTTCAAATGAACAAACAATATGCAAGAGACAGAATGCACACCTTTCCAAATGTATCATGGTCACATAATTCCACCATGAGCAAATCATGCCGTGCATCTTGTACAATGAATCAAATGTCTGGTTCCATATTGGATTTAGCGTGCCTGTCACAACCTGAAATAATACTGAATTATGAGAGCCTTGAAAAAAAATATGGAAGTACATAACTCTGAGATTAGGAAAGATAATGACCCTTGTCTTCTTTTTAGTTTCTCACCTCTTTAAGTACAGGACCACAAATGGGTCAGCCTTGCCACCAATGTACATAGGTGGCAAGTACTCTGCAGAGATGATCATTACAGAAAGGACTCCTCAAATAATAACATTTTTCCTCTGATTAACATCATATCCATTAGACACGGTTTTGAGAACCTTCTCCAATGAAATTAACTGAATTTGATTACCAAAAGGATTAGGAAACCCTACATGCTTAGCATAAGGATAGTAGAGGTTCACCAGGTGAACCTGAGGAACAAGGAAACATGCAAAATCATTAACTTCCCTGCAAGAAAAAAATTGAGTTCAGTATATACAGCTTGAAAGGCAGGTGTTGCATGTGTAGGAGCTGGCCACAGGAACCACAGATGTTAAGAGATAAGTTTTGCAACTGTTACATGCTTGGGATACATGACATTATTAGCTACAAAGTTTTACTCTATTTACCCTCCATCCAACACAGATATATCAAAAAGTGGTGGTGGTGCTAGGTTCTGATTCTATAAGACATCCCTATCCATACCTACATATACATGTTCTATGTATCTCTATAATCTACTAATTCTCGCCGCATAACTTGCTTTTAGTTTGACTAGATTAGTGACCAAATATAAAAACTGAATATGGTAGGCATATTATTGCTAACAAAAAGAGATTAAAGGGGGGGAAATTGACATTTAAATGAAATTAACTGAACTTACTACGAAATAGAACACGGCAAGGAGACGCGAGCTGCTGGAGCAACCACTGGACTCGCCGAGTAGGAGCCGAAGGCGCCCTTGTCGCCTCACAGATGACAAGGAGAGCATACCCAGGCGGCCTTCGGACGGCGCAGGCAGCAACAGCAACCTGCCCGATGGCGCGGCCCTGTACCGGCGGCCAGCAGGCAGTGCGGCCAGACCCGTCTCAGACCTGCCCCGGTGTCCTGCAGGCGGATCCACCAGCTCCGGCGGACAGCCCTGGGCGACGCGGCCAGACCCGGCGCAGCCCTGCCCCGGCAACCTGCGGGCAGATTCACCAGCTACAGCGGCCAGCCATATGGGCGACGCGGCCAGACCCGGCGAAGGAGCTCTGCCTGGCTCACCTTCTTCACCGGCGGCAAGAACTGGGACGCGCGGGCAGCCTCGGCAGTGGTGCTCTGCACAGCAGGGTGGAGTACGGGCAGAAATGGAGGAGAGGAGGTGGAGAGAAATGAAGGCAATGAATTGGGATGCGCCGCTGTAGAAAAATGAGATGCTGACAGAAACAATTATGGAATCTTGCCACTTGCTCGCTGCTACCAGGGTCTATGGGCTTTTGGTCCAATTAGAATTAAAAAATAAAATATATACAAATACAAAGTTGGTCAAAAAAACGGAATAAAAAAATCATTAATAAGGAAAAAAATATGATTGGTGTGTCTAATAATACCTTACCTGAACGATATGAAATTCTACTCTAATGCCCCAACATACGTACAATAATATAAAAATTAGCGACGAATTATAAATTATAAAAGTTTAAAAAACATAAAAAAAAATTAATACAAATAAAAACAAAAAATAAAAAAATAAAAAAATGTTGGTTTTTTAAAAAACATGGAAATAATATGATAAGATGCACTACCGAAAATAGTGAATTTGCCGTGTGCCACAGGCACTCGGCAAAGACTAAAAAACACTCAGCAAAACCTTTGCCGAGTGTAACACTCGGCAAACAGCACACGGCATTTACAGTGTCGACAAACAACTATTTGCCAAGTGTAATTTATCGCGCACTCGGCAAATGGTTTGCCGAGTGTCAAAATTGACACTCGGCAAAAAAGTGGTTTGCCGAGTGTTTTTGGAAATTACACTCGACAAACCTATTTTCCAAAGAAAAAAATATTTTTTTTCTCAGCATACTATTATTGTTTGCCGAGTGTTTTTAAAAATTACACTCGGCAAACCTATTTTCCAAAGAAAAAAAATAATTTTTTTCTCAGCATATTTCAGTTTAATAGCTGCCATACAAAACACTCTTAGTACAGAAGTTCTACTCCAGCAAACAGAACAAAATAAGTCACACCCAATGTCTACTCCCAGTCAATCCCACTAGACATCATCATCTACTTTCCTTTGATCTTGCAGTAGGCATACAATCCGGAGCCCAGAAACCCTAATCCCTGACCGATAACATTAAGCTGCATACGAAACTAGGGTTCAATACACGGGAGGTTATACAAACATAAGTGGCGCATAAGAAACAATTCCAACGGTGAAGAAATCCAGCAGAAACAGCGTAACATGAATATCACTACTCAAAAATAGTTTGTATGTTGGCCTATACGGTTGAGTGGAATAACTGGATGGCAGATGTACCTTCAAGTTTCCACACATCGATTGTGTGTGTGTAGAATTCAGGATTGTGTTCCAGTAGATAGTGTAGTTCAGTAGAAATGCTAAGATGCACGAAAATAGCAGCACAGCCTACAAGTGAAATTTCATTATCAGTGACATTCATAACTTTATTGACATTACATGATATAATGGAATACTACTTGACATTACTCACTATTTCGTTGTCTACCTGTTTTGAGTGTTAAATTAGTATGAAAAATAAACAAATTATCATGTAAAGTGACCTGAAGATCATCTACAACAGCTATACTATACACTAGTAATTGGACTGAATGAAAGAATTTTGAGGTTTCAAACTTGAGACTCAGACGAAACAGACTACAATAAATTTCAAATAACAAAAATGAATTAATGATCAAATCAGGAACTAATTCATATTGAAAGCAAATGTGAGTTTAAACATTGTGCTGGGGATGACAGCTTACAAACCCAATGGCACAACATTGCAGTTGCAGCTTCACAAACTAGCAGAACAGAGATAATTGTGCTACATTATTACAAATGTATTTGTCCCAACTTTCAGGCCATGGCATGTAAAATTAAAATTCAGAATAATGGGATAGATACCAACTAACAGATGGCTATACAAGACCGAATGGCATACTGAAAGCAGATAATGGCCTCAATATAGTAACATTCACACAAACACGGAGCATCCAAGAGACTTGTATTTACTACCATATAATCTGATTTGGATAATAAGATTCATCAGAAACATTTAATGGAGCAGTGACAAATTTAAGTATACCACGTCAGTGAAGTATCGGTCACCAACCTGGAGCAGTGACAAATTTAAGTTAGAAAACTTGTACATGTTATGAGTAAATAGCTCATAATTAAACTCCTACCATCACAAAATTTGAGGCTAAACAACCAAAGTAAGTCTCTATTTCCTTAGCTGCTCCACCAGGTTTCTGTGTATCTGCACTCAACAGAACGGTGTGCTCGAATCTAATCATCAAAATTCAGCATAAGAATTGCAACTGTAAATATATGAGCCTAAGAAAATGGAAGAACACTTTAGATATGGATGTACTAACAAAGGAATAGGTATTCAACAAAGAATACAATACTAACTGTATATTACATGAGGATAGGTATATGCAAGTATAAATGGTAAAATATTGGAATTTTAACTGATTTGGAAATTGCTATTGATATCTCAAATGCTATTATGTATCTTCGGGATGTACCTCTCCATTCAGTCAAACATGCATCTTAATTTCGAAATAGCTGTACTCCAACTTATAACCTTGGTGATCGGATTCCATGAACATAATGCAGCAAAAGAACTGCAGCATCTCTGAATGTAACAACCTTAAAAAATGGAAGAAAACTTTATGTACATGTACTAACAAAGAAAAAGATTTTCTACAAGGAATATAGCCCTAATCAGTTTGAAAGCACTTCAAGAATAGTTTATGGCTTAAATGTGATTGCCCTAATCAGTTTGAAAGCACTTTAAGAAAAAAAAATAACGGGAATAATTCTCTTTAAGAAACAAAAAAAAAAGAAATGCAATGTACTATAGTCAGTGTATATACCTTAGATGGAGCGATCTACCTTCTTGATTCAGTAAAATATGCATCTTAATCTCGAAATAGCTATGCCATTACACGGTCATCGTTAGCTAAGTAACAAAAAGCAGGGTTATTACCTGTAGAGGGTGAGGTAGCGCACGCTGCCGCATCAGCCAGTCACCTGCATGAAGGAGAACACGGAGGGATGCAGGACCTGGGGGAGCAGTCATGGAATAGAGGAGTAGAGGGTGAGGTCTCACCAGATCCGGCCACAACAGAGAGGAAGAGGCGACGCGCCACGGGCAGGGCGAGGTGCCAAGCGGAGACGCAGACAGGGTAGATGAAGAGGCGACCACGTAGGGCCGACGGGTCGGCCGACGTCGCCCGTACTGGGGCAAGGGGCGACGGCAGCGGAACAGGCACCGTCGGGGATGGGGCTTGGGGTGCGACGGGTGGCCTGCGGCTGTAGCGGCCTAGGGCGACAGCGTGGCCCAACAGGAGGCAAGCGAGGTCGGCAGGAGCGCCGCACCACAGCTGCGTGCGTTGCAGACGGTGGAGGGGGAAAGCATGGCGCCTGCGCTGGAGCCGCCGCTCCGTTGCGCGCCAGCCACGGGGGAGGGGGGCACCGTCGCCCGCGACCCGTGTTGGGCCCCCCGCGTGGATGCGCTGCCGCGCTAGGCCGGGGGGCGGCCACCGCCGTCTGGGAGAGGAGGCGGAAGGGATAAGGGTGGCATGGTTTGCCGAGGACGGGATGCCGCATCGTTGGTTCCAGAAGGCCGGATGCGGGGTATATGAGCGGGGGTTTGCCAAGTGTTCCTAAATCTGACACTCGGCAAACCTCTTCTTTGCCGAGTGCCGGACAAGAGGCACTCGGTAAATCCAGTTTTTTTATTTTCTTTCTTTTCTTTCTTTTCCATAACGTATTTTTTTAAATTTGTTTCGATGTACTTTGAAAATACCTCGTCAAATTCACTCAACAATATATATTTGATTTTTCTACGAATATTATTCCATTATTTCGTGTAGTTATAGCTCGAATTCAATTTATATCAATTAAAATTTTATAATTGCACTTGATAAATTAAAATTATCAAACGGATCCAAAAAATTACCAAAATTTCACATAAAACCATGTATGTTCTCTATTGCCTATACAAAAAGTTTTAAAGTCAAACCCCAATTCGACCGTCACTTTGACTGTAAATCTTACCAAATCCTTCTCGACACTATGATTCTTCTTCTAAGATACTTCGGTTTGTAAACATCGTACGTGACAAAACGTACGAAACCTTATCCATTTTTTACCATAGCCTCCACGTATGATATCATCACATCATGACAAATCTCATGATTTTCAAACTTCGTTTGTTTTTTTAGAATTTAAAAACCATTTAGCCACACATTCGTGGTCGTGTTTCCTGAACGAGATGTTCGAAATTTCTTTTCATTTCCAAGGTAAGGCCTCACACTGGACTCAATAATATGACTATCATTTTTCTACTCATTTTATTCTATTATTTGAATCACTTGCAGTTCAAATTTGACTTAAACCAAAAAATTTCTTGAAATGCAATAAATTAATGAAATATAGCAAACAGATCCAGAAATATACCAAATTTTAACATGGAGTACCACATGTTGTATGTGCAGAGTAGAAAAAGTTTGAAGGTCAGAAGAGAAAAAAAACTTATTTCTTTGCCGAGTGCCAAAAAAACACTCGGCAAAGAGCTTGTTTGCCGAGTGAAAAAAAAAACACTCGGTAAACCCCCTTCTTTGTCGAGTGTTTTTTTTTGCACTCAGCAAACACGTTTTTTGCCGAGTGCAATTATTTTACCGAGTGTTTTTCGCACAGCACTCGACAAAGAGCTTGTTTGCCGAGTGCCCGAAGGATTGCACTCGGCAAATTGACTGTTTCCGGTAGTGATGATAAGGGCAAACAAGCTAGAAAATGGCAAATAAAAACAACAAATATCTTTAGACACGTGTGTGCATGTTAAACTAAATTTTATTTCATTCCACTCCAACACATGTGGATTGAGGTGGATACGCATGCATCCAACACATGGCCTTATTGTTTATTCGGTCTGCTGTAGGAAGTTTGGATTGCAGCAGGAGCCATATGAAGAAGCGGCATTTGGGTTCCACTTTCATCTTCCATATCTTAGCCCAGTTTTGGTCTTGCACTGCCCCAAAGAACTGCATACTGTAAGCTGTTTTCGCTGAGTAATGGCCAGATGGTTCAAAGCGCCAGGAGATTCTATCTTCTTGTTCCTGCAGATGAAGTGTTAGCAGCTGGT